TGAATATACTCGATTTTTCAAAGTTTGTTTGTTTTTTTGGGATGGTTTTGAGACCCTTTTGGGGGGGGGAGGGGGTGTGGGACTACAGACCAGAGTGGAAAGAAAAAAAAGGAAACTTTGAAAAAACGTGCAATATATGGAGCCAAAAAAAAGAAAAAAGAAAAAAAGCCAAAAAAAAAAAAAAAAAAAAACAAAAAAAAAAAAAAAAAGGGACTTACCCCGGAGCTAAAAGGGGCTCTCCAGGCTCGGGAGCACCGGGAGGTGGCAGCACCCGGCAGCTGTGGCAGGGGCTGGAAAGAAGAAGATGGGATCAGCATCAGGAAGCAAAGGGGAAGGAGGAGGAGGAGGAGTGGGATGTGATGGCAGAAAGAAGGGGAGATGGCAGAGAAGCTGGGGACACACAGCAAAGGTGCCACCACAGCCGTGGGGAGGGAGAGTGGGAAGCCTGAGGGTTGTGGGATCATAGAATGGTTTGGGTTGGAAAAGACCTTCAAGATCATCCAGGCCAACCATTAAACCAACTCTAGCAAGCCCACTGCTGATCCACATCCCTCAGCACCACGTCTACACGACTTCTAAACATGCCCAGGGATGGGGACTCCACCACTGCCCTGGGCAGCCTGTTCCACTGCTTCACAACCCTTACTTGGAAGAATTCTTTTCCTACTATCCAGCCTAAACCTCCCCTGGTACCACTTGAGGCCCTCAGAGCAGCCCTTTGGAGGGGACACAGGCTGAGACCCGACTCCACTCATTTCCTCCCCAGGCAGCAGCCAGAAGTCCTGCAAGGCCCCTGCAGCAGGATTAACATCTGCCTGTGGCATCTCCCCAACACTCCGGGCTGGCCCCACGTTTGCTGGCCAAGCAGCAATTAAAAACCCCCTCAAAAGCAACCCCAGGGAGGCTGTGGGGGAAGGAAACCACACTGGGCCCTGTTTTGTGCTGACTTGGTTCAGTCAAGCAAGAAAAGAAAAGCTTCTGCCTGCAAATCCCAGCCGGGACTCCTGCCCGGGGAGAGAAACCACATGGAGGCAGCAGGTCTGCCTGGATCAGAGAGCAGATAAACCTTCCCTCAGACACAGTGTGAGGTGCTGCAGCCACCAGGACTGGGCTGGAGAAGGGTTTTTGGGCAGGAGGGGAGGATGGGGTGGCTGCTGGGACGTGTTTCTGGTGGCAGAGACGTGCAGTGGGGCTGTCTGTGGCTCACAGGCTGCTCCAGCCACTGGCCAGGGTTGGGCATCTGGAGTATTGTGTGCAGCTCTGGGGTCCCCAAGTGTCCCCCAATGACACAGAGCTGTTGGAACAATCCAGAGGAGGCTACAGAGATAATGGGAGGGCTGGAGCAGCTCTGGGACAGGCTGGGAGAGTTGGGATGTTCAGGCTGGGGAAGAGAAGGCTCCAGGGAGACCTTAGAGCACCTTCCAGGGCCTCAAAGCCAGCAGCAAGCAAGGCAGAGGGGGGTCTGTCCTCCTTGGGTTTTGCTGAGAGGTGTCTGTCCTCCCTGTGTCCTGCCAAGGGGGTTTCTGTCCTCCCTGTGTCCTGCCAAGGGGGGTTTCTGTCCTCCCTGGGTCCTACCAGGGGGGAGGTTTCTCTCCTCCCCGGGTCCTGCCAGGGGGGAGGTTCCTTTCCTCCCCGTACCCTGCCAAGGGGGTTTCTGTCCTCCCTGGGTCCTGCCAAGGGGGTTTCTGTCCTCCCTGGGCCCTGCCAAGGGGGTTTCTGTCCTTCCTGGGCCCTGCCAGGGGGGGTTTCTGTCCTCCCTGGCCTTGCCAAGGGGGAGTGTCTGTCCTCCCTGGATCCTGCCAGGGGGGAGGTTTCTCTCCTCCCCGTTCCCTGCCAAGGGGGGGTGTCTGTCCTCCCTGGATCCTGCCAGGGGGGGAGGTTTCTCTCCTCCCCGTTCCCTGCCAAGGGGGGGTGTCTGTCCTCCCTGGATCCTGCCAGGGGGGGAGGTTTCTCTCCTCCCCGTTCCCTGCCAAGGGGGGGTGTCTGTCCTCCCTGGATCCTGCCAGGGGGGGAGGTTTCTCTCCTCCCCATTCCCTGCCAAGGGGGGGGGTCTGTCCTCCCTGGCTCCTGCCCGGGGG